TGATCTGTCTAATGGTTAAAAACAATTAGCAACACTAAAAACTTATTTCTTCAAACTTATTTTATTAGTTCTTCTGCTTCTTCTTTTTTGCTTGATAAAATGCGAGTTAGTATCTGAAGCACTTTTACTCAATAGTGTCTGTGTTCACTTGGGTGGTCCACTGAAACTAGTGTTGCATTAATATATGATAATGAGTCAATCTGTAGATTTCATAGAATTATAACTTGAAGACTTTATGGAAGGGTTATACATCTGTAACATTCTTCTTCTGTTACCTTAATTTCCTAGTGGATCTTGGTACCTCATCTGTAACTTTACAGAAGTATAGCCCTGTAAATCTTAATTGAAAGCTATATTTCATTTGTTTTAAGAGTGTGCAATTCTGAATTAGCCTTAGAGTCCAGAAAATCTAGCAATTTCAATGCCCTGTATTTGATTTACTTTTATACGCATTCGATTCTCAAGTCCTTGCGTTTATTCTTATTTTTGATATATCAGCTGCATTTGGGACACATCTTAATAAAGCTTTCTAAGTCTGGATGCAGCAGTACTGCTATAAGGCACATAGCCATAAAGTAGTTTAAGTTTAATTATTGTTTATAATGCAGATGTCTAATACAACTTTTGTTGTATTAATTGTATTAGTGCATTTAGAGTTATATTAGAATTTATAAACCTTTATGTTCTCTAGTTAATTCTATTCTCTGTGTTTATGTTTACATGTATCAAACTAAGCGTAGCAATAGAAGTGATCAAAAACTTTCATTGACTTTGGCCTAGTTTCACCACGGAGAGTTTAGTTCTAAATTAATAAATTATAATCTATACATAATAATTTTATTTTTGACGCTCCTATATGTATTTTTTGACTAAATAATCTCACTAAATTAGCAAAGAGCTTATGAGTAAACTTTTATTTGATAAACTCAATAACTGAAAGTCTAGTTCAGTGACAAATAAACACATATGTTAAACAACACCCAATCGATGGAACTAATCATA